GAATAATGGTGATGTATGAATTCTTTTAGGTTTCTCTAGTTAGTTGCATAAAGAAAGATCTAGAAAATTGGTGATGATTCTTCATTCCATTACTTCCAAAATTACAACTCAGAATATATTTTGAACAATATTCCAACAAAAATAAGAACATGAAAAAGGTGGGATATTAGTGTAACCATTAGCGAATAGTTGTGTAACAGAAGACAAGTCCAGTGACAATATAGTCACCCTTTTATTTAAATAAAAGGTTAAAACCGTCAATTGGGAACCCAAATGTTACGAAAGTGGAATGTTTGGAGTGAGTTTGCCAAAATATTAAGTTGCAGATCCACTCACTACCTTTTAAATATGTTGGGGACCCCATCTGTAATCTCTTTCTCTCTCTCTCTCTCTCTCTCTCTCTCTATATACACACACACAAGAGAGAATTTTGCATTCCAAAATGCAATTACATAACAGAAAAATCATAGAGATTCCCTTCCTCGTCATGCTCTATGTAAACAGTTAATAAGTCACGCAATGAAATTCGATAGGAATAAAATCTGTTTTAATTAATACTGCTAGTGAAAATGCGATTTCTTTAAACAGTGTCATCTAATGTTACTTTCCCCCTCCAAATTTGAAATTTGTATTTTCTTGTTCCTGATCTTTTTCCTATCTTGTTTGATGCAGTCTACTGATTCTTCTGTCGCTTTATCCTCTTGAAAGTTTGGTGTATGTTGCCAGCACAGTTCATCTCAAAGATAATAAAATTTGTGGCATCAACTCAATCAGGGGCGGACCCAGAACATTTGTGTTGTGGGGTCGAAAATGAGATTTCGAAAATATTTAGAACGACATATCGTTAACAAAAATAAGTCAACGCGCTATTACAATTGTAGCCTACGCGTTTTCATACTCTGAAAACGTCATATAATTATATCGTTATCAATATTGTTTAGTACATCGTTTTCAATATATGCAATCAAACTATCACTGAACCATTGATTCTTCCCGTATCTGATTCTTCCGGACCATATTTTTCTTTTTCAACACTCGTTTCAACAATAGTTTTCCTCCACGCTCGAACGTACGGATTTTCGTTTAACATATTTCTCCATGTCTGTGAAAAAACGAACTCAATTCAATCTCACAAACTCAATTCAATCTCAATTAACCAATAACCAGACTGCAAAATTTAATTCAATCTCAATTCAATTCTACTGTTCTTCTACACAAACTCAATTCAATCTCAATTAACCAAAAACCATACTGCAAAATTCAATTCAGTCTCAATTAACCAATAACTAGACTGCAAAATTCAATTCAATGATTTCAATCTACTGTTCTAAATT